GTAGCTACTTCTCCTGGAAGATGCAGGGTTACGATTTTACAGCTGAAATAAGAACCTTACCACTACGATGCAGTGATTTGGTACAAGGTGTTCAATGGCTCTCCACCTTAGGACCCATCCTATGGGATTTCATGAACCTTCGAATGGATTTTAAATCCAATGGGTTGAAACATGTTCTCAGAGGGATTACACCAAATAACAATAAAGTCATCTCTGGAAGCAGCCTCAACAAACTTATGTTGCACGAACCTCAAATTGCTTTACTCCACCTTCGGGATATGGACCGCATGGATCAGACACAACAACCCCTTGATCCAGACACCATTTTCTACCATATCGAAGCTAGCGGTACTGAAACAAAAGATACTGGTTCGCTACAGCAGTTACTCAATTCTTACTTAGATATATTTAAAGAACCGACTTCCTTACCACCTTACCGTGCGGGTTTCGATCATAAGATCCCACTCGAAATAGGAGCAATCCCTGTTAGTCTGAGACCTTACCGTTACTCCTCCGTACAAAAGGACTCCATCGATAAAATGATTCAATACATGCTGACTCAAGGTATCATTCAATACAGTGCAAGCCCCTATGAATCTCCGATTGTGCTTGTCAAAAAGAAAGATGGATCGTGGCGTTTATGCGTTGACTACCGAGGCTTGAACAAGCAAACCATTAAAGACAAGTATCCGATCCCACTTCTGGAAGATCTACTCGACGAATTGGGCGGCTCTAAGTTCTTCTCTAAGCTCGACCTACGCGCAGGTTTCCATCAACTTCGTATGGCTCCCGAAGATGTGCACAAAACAGCTTTCAAAACACATGCTGGCCATTACGAGTACCTTGTCATGCCATTTGGCCTTACAAACGCTCCATGCACGTTTCAAGGACTTATGAACCACGTGTTTGCCCCTGTTCTTTGAAAATTTCTGCTGGTATTTTTCGATGATATTTTAATCTACAGCAAAACTTGGGAGGAGCACCTTATCCACTTGGATACTGTCTTTGCCATACTTCGCCATCAACAACTCTACCTCAAGAAATCTAAGTGTACATTTGGAGCAACAAGAATTGAATATCTTGGACACTTTATTTCTCAAGATGGCGTCAGCACTGATCCTAAAAAAATTACGGCAGTAGAGAGTTGGCCACAGCCGACGAATCAAAAGAAACTTTGCAGTTTCTTGGGATTGGCTAATTATTATCGCAGGTTCATAAAAGGCTACAGCATCATCACAGGCCTTTTACTCTCCTGTTACGAAAAGATGGCTTCTCGTGGGATACTGATGCATCTACAGCACTCAAACTATTGAAACAAGCCTTGGTCTCCGCCCCTGTCGTCGCCCTCCCTGACTTCACCAAAACGTTCATACTCAAAACAGATGCCTCCAAAACCGGCATTGGTGCGGTTCTTATGCAGGACAATCATCGTATCTGCTATATTAGTAGGGATTTGGGTCCCCGACACCAAGGGTTATTGGTTTATGAGAAAGAGCTACTTGATGTTGTTCATGCCGTCCAGATATGGAACCCATATTTGGCTCATACCAAGTTCATTATCCGAACGGATCAAAAGAGCTTAAAGTTCCTTCTGGAACAGAAGATCACAACGCCGTTCCAACATACGTGGTTATCTAAACTGATGGGTTATACTTTTGAAATACTGTACAAACAAGGAAACAAGAACGTTGCAGCGGATGCACTCTCCAGAGTATCGGGTTCTCAATTTCTTCAGCTTACACTCTCACAGATTCATAACGGATTCTATGAGGAACTGAAGCTTCTATGGGATACAGACCCTACACTTAAACAGATAATCTCGGAGTTACAAACCAAGCTTACCTCACACTTTTTACTTATTCGTTAAAGGGGAACTTCGTCGCAGAGGCAAGCTTGTCGTAGGTAATGATCCATCGGTCAAGCTCCACATATTTCAATGGTTGCACGACTCTGCAGTGGGAGGTCACTTAGGGCGCGATTAAACTTTACATCGAATCAAGACATTATTCTATTGGCCAAAGATGAGTTTGGAAGTTCAGAATTATGTTCGAAATTGTCCGGTGTGTCAGAACAATAAATATGACTTGGCCGCAAAACCTGGACTGCTCCAGCCGCTTCCGGTACCCGCAGGTATTTGGGAGTCTATCAGTCTTGACTTCATCGAAGGTCTTCCACCATCATCTGGTAAACATTGTATCTTAGTCGTCGTCGACCGTTTAAGCAAGAATGCTCATTTTCTTGCTTTATCCCATCCTTACACTGCTATGGATGTTGCAAAGTTGTATCTGGATCAGGTCTTTCGATTACACGGAATGCCCAAAGACGTTACCAATGACCGTGATCCTACTTTTCTCAGCGATGTTTGGAGAGAGATGTTTCGAGTTCATGGCGTCACCCTGAATTTTTCCACAGCTTACCATCCTCAAACCGACGGAAAAACTGAGGTAACTAACAAAACATTGGAGACGTATCTACGTTGCATGACGTCTGATTCACCTCATAAATTGAGTGAATGGTTGCTGCTGGCTGAATGGTGGTATAATACAACTTACCACACAGCGATCCGTAGCTCACCGTTCGAAATCGTCTATGGACAACAACCGCCGGTTCATCTACTGTACTTACCAGGAGAAAGTCCTTCTACCTCAGTCGACAGGTCTTTACAATGCAGAGAAGAGCTTATTGACATGATGAAGTTTCATCTTCTGCGAGCTCAAAACAGAATGAAACGATATGCAGATTCTCATCGCTCTGACCCTGTATTTAAGATTGGAGACTATGTCTATTTGAAGCTTCAACCTTATAGGCAGCATTCCCTGAAAGGTCGTCGTCTCCCTCACAAGCTTTCACCACGTTTTTATGGACCTTATGAGATTGAAGATCGCATAGGCTCTCTTGCATACAAGCTTCGTCTTCCTCCTGGTGCAGCTGTTCATAACGTTTTCCACGTCAGTCAATTGAAGCTTTGCCCAAATCCACCTGCTACGCCATCTTCCTTGCCTCAATATCTCACTGATGTCGGTAAGACAAAGGAACCAGACAGGATACTTGAAAAGAAAATGGTGAAACGCCACAATTGTGCTGTCACAAAAGTTTTGGTTCAATGGAAAGGCTTTCCTCCAGACCTTGCGACATGGGAGTTCTATCAAGATTTTGCAGCTCAATATCCTGATTTTCATACTTGAGGGCAAGTATGATGTGAAGGAGGGAGTATTGTGTCAGGATTACTATGTTTGCTATATTTCTCTAACCGCCTTTGGAGTTTTACGATTTGGTTTTCCATATTTTTGTCTTAAGATAATTATCAATCTTTTAGGATAATTCCCATATGTGTTTTGGAAATACGTTCTAGGTTTTTTTATATATAAGGCATGGCCTTCATAAGCTATAATAATAAGAATACTTTTACAATCTCCTAAACTCTCCAATAACTTTCTGTGCAAGCAACTATCTATCTACCGATCATAGCATCTTCGAGTTGATGCTTCTTCACCTTGTGATCATCTTCTAGGTACTTTGAATCCCCTTTCTTCTAATCCGCAGAAGGGTTACTAGCTTGGGACTTACGTTACAGGTTTACTGTCTCAGTACGTTGCGACAAAAGCTATATGATTTGAATCAGCGGAAAAGTTGTAGGAAACGTTTCTTGATCTGCTCATGGATGTGGGATATGGACGAATCTTTTTGAGGAAGTTTGAAATTATACGTGTGAATGTTATTAGATCTTTAAGACATGTTTGTTTGTTTGATTTCAGATTAATGTTCCACATTCGAAGGTGATGACCCTTACAGCTGCTGGAGAGCTTACTTTGAACTCAAAGACCTTGAGGTAATATCCCGAACAACTTAAGTTCTTGTTTACATTTAAATATTATGGTTTTGTTTGTGAGAGTTCTATCATTTATACATCATTTTTGTGTATATGATGCAGAAAGAGAAGCCAAAGGTCGAAGTTGAGAATCTAATCTTGCAAACAGGAGGTGTGAAATCGCTTTACATGGACTTGCTTCAGTAGAGAAGGACACCAAAACCAAGAATGGTTTAGAAGTTACAGAGCAATCATATTCAGAGAAAGGGATGAAACTACATATTCATTTTCCTGATGGTTTACCAAAATCTTAAGAAGAGTTGGAAGAAGAACAGAAATCATGAATACCAGATTCTGCTTTCACAAGATTGCTTGGAACAAAAGAAACTATCCCTGCCTGGTTCTCTTACACTCCTGACCACGAACAGATTGAAGAATCTCTCTCACACGTTGTGGTACTTAAGAGAGTTGTTTCTCTACAAAGTTTTACTTTATGTATATACATATAGCAATATGAGATTTCTTGATTTTGTTAGAACATATAAATCACTGTAATATATCTCATTGTTAGTCCAATACAATGTTGTTGTCCTTGTGTGATGTTCTCGAGTGGTCTATAACAAGGCTGTTTCGAAGCCGTGTTCTTATTTTAGTACCTTGTTTTGGTTACAAAGAGATTCCTATTCTTGTTAGTGTTTTGCCTTCCGGAAGTCAAGCAAAAACATTCAAAAATAAAACAAGAAACTTCTAAAGATAGGGAAAGAATGTTTGGTCCTGCAAAAATGAAAATCGTTTGGCATTATTAATAATAACCTCTTGGTGTCCTGCTACTTCTATGCCCATATCTATAAGCAGCCTTGGTTCTTTTCCAAGGTTTTGATCAAAGCCATGACTAAACCTCCTCCATTTTCTTTCCGGGCCTTTGGCTGCTTCCTTTATTCTTTTTCTTCTTCTTCTTCTTCTTCTCCATCTCCTCTGTTGTTTTAGCACTCACCGACGCAGAAGATTCATTCATTGCGCAACGACAGCTCTTGACATTTAGCAGAGGATGGTGATCTTCCAGAAGATATTGAGTATGAGGTCGATCTCAAGATGACATTTGCAAATCAGAGGCTTAAGAGAGCTTACATCGCTCTACAAGCATGGAAAAAAGTGGTCTATTCAGACCCATTTAACACCACGGGGAACTGGCATGGACTGCACGTGTGTGACTACAGGCGTGATCTGCGCACCAGCACTTGATGATCCTAAAGTCGCAGTTGTGGCAGGAGTAGATCTTAATGGTGCAGATATTGCTGGACATTTACCAGCTGAGCTTGGTTTGTTAACGGATATGGCCATGTTCCATTTGAATTCGAACCGGTTCTGTGGTATCATACCAAAGAGTGTCAATTGGTTGAAGCTAATGCATGAGTTCGATGTCAGCAACAATCGGGTTTGTTGGAACTTTCCCTTCTGTCGTCTTCTCGTGGCCGACTGTTAAGCTCATCGACTTAAGATTCAACGATTTTGAAGGTCAAGTGCCTCAAGAGCTTTTCAAGAAGGATCTTGATGCAATTTTCTTGAACAACAACAGATTTACTTCCACGATTCCTGAGTCACTCGGAGAATCCTCAGCCTCTGTTGTGACCTTTGCTCACAACAAATTCAACGGTTGTATGCCTAAAAGTATTGGAAACATGAAAAATCTTAACGAAACCATTTTCAAGGATAACAATCTAGGAGGTTGTTTTTCGTCAGAGATTGGAAAGCTAGTGAATGTGACGTTTTTAAGCTAGCATGAACTCATTCACCGGTGTTTTACCACAGAGTTTTGTTGGGCTTACCGGAGTCGAAGAGATTGATATCTCAGGGAATAAACTCACCGGCTTTGGGCCAGAGGACATACACAACTTGCCTAAGTTAAATAACTTGACTTACGCATACAATTACTTCAATGGACATGGTGATATGTATGTCCCAGGTAGTCAGAAGGATATTGCATTCGATGATACACATAACTGCTTGCGAGAGAGGCCTAAACAACGGTCGGCAAAGGAATGTTCAGTTGTGATTACTCGTCCTGTTGATTGTAGTAAAGATAAGTGTGCTGGTGGTGGTTCTTATCCCACTACGCCATCAAAGTGGAAGCCACCATCACGGGTGCCAACTAGGCCGGTACACAAACCACAAGCACCGAAGGAGTCACCAAAACCAAATTCCCAACATAATCAGTCTCCTGTGAAGTTTAGACGTAGTTCACCTCCACCACTGGTTCTTTCTCCTCTTCCCTCACCTCCGGTACATTCTCCGCCACCACCGGTCCCTTCACCACCACCACATGTCCATTCTCCAGCACCACCGGTGCATTCTCCTCCACCACTGGTCCACTCTCCTCCACCACCAGTGCATTCTCCACCACCACCACCACCACCACCGGTGCATTCTCCTCCACCACCACCACCACCGGTGCATTCTGCTCCTCCACCGATGCATTCTTCACCACCACCATCAGTGCATTCTTCACCACCACCATCAGTGCATTCTCCTCAACCACCGGTCTATTCACCACCACCACCACCGGTCCATTCAGCAGCACCACCACCGGTCCATTCACCACCACCACCGATCCATTCAGCACCACCACCACCGTTTCATTCTCCAATACCACCACCACCGGTCCAGTCTCCACCACCACCACCACCACCACCGGTCCAGTCTCCACCACCACCGCAGTTCCATTCACCTCCACCACTAGTCCAGAAACCACAACCACAAAAAGAGTCACCACAACCAAATGACCAATTTGATCAGTCTCCAGTGAAGTTCAGGCGTAGCCCGCCTCCTCCACAACAATCACACTCATTGGTTTCTCCTTCGTCTCTCGTTCACTCTCCCCTACCACTGATTTATTCTCCACTGCCAGCACCGGTTCAATTTCCACCAGAAACACCGGTCAACTCTCCTCCTCCACAAGCACCGACAAAAACAGTAGAAGTACCACCTCCAAGTGAAGAATTCATCATTCCAACATTCGTTGGACACCAATATGCTTCACCACCACCTCCAATGTTTGAGGGCTACTGATATTAGGGAGATAATACGAGTTGATGTTATAAATCACGTCGTGAGAAGAAAATACAAAACCAGAAAAGTTGAGGAAGACAGAAGAAGAACAAAGAAGGAGGGCAGTGTATCACAGTGGCGTTAATTCCTCACAAGGAACTGTATTATGTTTGTCTAGTAAGAGTTAACATCCTTTTTGGGTCCATGAAAGATTTTTATACTTTGAAAAGAAAGAAGTTGTTTATGCTTCTTCTCTCGTATTGTTAAAGACCCTTTTCGATGATGGTATCTTAGAGCATCCGCAATGGCGGATCCTTGGGGGAATCGTTAGGAAAAAAGAAAAAAGGGTATTTCAGATTATATAAGGATATTTCAGATTTTTCCTTTAAAAAAAAATAAACTGACCACTCACGGATCGCCACGTGAGCAGTGGAGCCCATGAATAGTGTAAGGATCAATCCTTACATAAGGATTTTTAGGATAAAATCCTTAACTGTTCATGGGACCCATTGATTATAAAATTAATATTTCTCTAAAGATTCTCCGTAAGGATCCGCCATTGCGGATGGTCTTAGGTCAACTGAGAATTAATGTATTATATATATATATATATATATATATATATAAGAAGTCCTTCAATAGGAGAAGGTTACCAATTATCAATCAGTAAAGCTTACGAATTCAGTGGCGGATCTAGAAGTTTTTTATTTAGATACATAACACTGAAAATAACAAAAGCGAATTGATTGTGGGCGTATAAGATAATAGAACGACTAGAAAACGTCTAAGAAATTGTTAAGAAAATAGACGAATTCACGAGTCAATATTTGACAGTTTCAATGCAATTTTTGAATCCCATGATAGACTATTTCAGAACACCTGAAACAAAATCTACAAAGAGTAATTACTATAGAATTACTCTCGAGACACAATGGTCTTTGCTGGAACTCGCTAATTGTGTTTTCTGTGTTTCCAATTATAAAGAAGGTAGACGCTTATTATATGGGGAGGAAGCTTGACAATTAATTAAAGAATAACGATAAAGGAAAGAATAACTTAGAAAAATTCATGTTTATCGTAAGAGATGAGAGAGGGAAATATTCCAATAATAATTTGGAAGCATTCTAAAATTATTTTGACACTATCCAAAATATTTAGATTTATCTCGATAATATAGATACAATATGTTAAAAGTGATCTAGTAAATTACTCAAAATCTTGGTAGGATACTTCTCTAAAAAGAACATCTTATTGTGAGATAAAGCTCTCATTCACCAAGACCCAAACCCAAACCCGGCCTGGTGGCATGTGTGTGTGTGTGATTTTCATAATGACTCATCTCACTCTTTTTCCATAGCGTCCCCACAAACTATAGAGCATTCATAAGGGAATGCCATATTTATACTACAAGATTTTTCTTGTTATAAGAATGAGACTTGTTACTCTTCCATTTCATTTACGTGATAGATTTTTTTACTAGAGCCCAAAAGAAATTTGATCCACATTTATCTTTGCATTACAAAAAAAATTTACTCATCCCAAAGGCTTATAAATATGGGTTCCAATAATCCACCACATAAATATAAATTACTCTAAAAATATGCAGACTCGATAGACTCTCTACTAACTAGACTTAAAAAAAGATCAGACATACACACTTTTGGAGAGTATAAGAAAAAACTAACTGCATCTGAGGCAGTAGCATATTCAAGCCTTGAACGACTCTTTGTTAGTACTTGTCGAATCTACATTTCAGGAGGTGAATTTGATGTCTTAAACAACCCATTTTTTTTTTGTAAACATACACAACTTTGTGTTCTTAGAGGTAAGTTCTCTATTGTCTTCATCTTGGTCGTGAACTTGCCTAGTTATCATGAGTTAATTTTGAGAGTATAGCCTTAAGTTCATTCTTTGAGAAACTGCCTCATTTAACACTCACTAGGTGATTGCCATACTACATGTCACATACACAAAATGTATCATGTTATACTCCCTCTCTCTCTCTCTCTCTCTATATATATATATATATATTGTTGTTGTCAAAAACCGTAATCTCGAAATCAACGTCTACGATAACTTCTATAAAAGATGGAATCATTGCTTTCCGCAAGAATCGTTTTATAAAACTCGAGGAAACGTTTGATAAAACTCGAGAATCGTTTTATAAAACTCGAGAGTCGTTTTATAAATATCAAAGAATCGTTTTATAAAACTCGAGAGTCGTTTTATAAAACTCGAAGAATCGTTTTATAGAACTCGAGAGTCGTTTTATAAAACTCGAAGAATCGTTTTATAAAACTCAAAGAAACGTTTTATAAAACTCGAGAATCGTTTTATAAAACTCGAGAATCGTTTTATAAATCTCGAAGAATCGTTTTATAAAACACGAAGAATCGTTTTATAAAATTCGAAGGATCGTTTTATAAAACTCGAGAATCGTTTTATAAAACTCGAAGAATCGTTTTATAAAACTCGAAGAATCATTTTATAAAACTCGAAGGATCGTTTTATAAAACTCGAGAATCGTTTTATAAAACTCGAAGAATCGTTTTATAAAACTCGAAGAATCGTTTTACAAAATTTCGAAAAACTGAATCCGCCGTAAAACACGAACTAGCTTCGTCCCGGCTAGTTCGCCCAATAGCGAACTAAGCCAAGCCAGCTTAGTTCGCCGTTGGGCGAACTAGCGCCGAGCCGGCTAGTTCGCCCAACGGCGAACTAGGCCATGACCGGCTTAGTTCGCCGTTTGGCGAACTAGCCACGTCCCGGCTAGTTCGCCCAACGGTGAACTAGCCTCGTCCCGGCTAGTTCGCCGTTGGGCGAACTAGAGGGTTCTCGGACGGTTCACCGACCGGAGAGCTAGACCGGTCCGGCTCGATTCACCGTACGTCGCACCAACCATCCCGAGCCTTGATCTCCCGTATACCTGATTCAGTGCTTACGTCCTTCTTTGTTTTCTCAAAAAGAAGTCGAGAAAATAGTATAAAACGGCAACGGTTAGACGAAACACTGAACATTGCCTAAACTATACGATTCATTCGAGATTTTTCGCTAAAATCATCAAAACGCATTTTTAATAAAAACGTCGACAAAATCGTAAAAGAACGGCAGCGATTAACCAAGAAACGAACGTAGCTAAACTTTACGATTAACTCAGGGAATTTACTAAAAACGGCATCGGATCAGGAAATGATCTCTTATAAAGTCGTAAAACGGATTTATCGTAAAACAGCCCGAAAGTTCCTAAAACACGATAAAAGTCCATCTCGCGATCTTCACGAAACCTAACCCGAAGATACGATAACGTTTTGATGGTTTATTCGCAGAAGGAAGATAAATGTCATGTTTGAAGACAAAATGCAAGTTTGAAGATAAATAGATTATCTCCGCGGGAGAAAAGGAAGGATCAAGAAAAATGGAAGATTCCCGATAAACTCGAATCCGGGCAAAATGGAAAGACTGAACCGACTGGGAGAGGAGTATATAAGCCAGAGGCATAGGGCAAGAGCAAGAGGACGAAAATTAGACATAGAGAGGCGGCTGTTAAATTATAAATTTAGGACTTAGCGTTTAGACTTGCACGCCAGATCCTTAGAACGTTTCGACGTCTAAGTTTTCCAATTCTTTCTTGTAACAGTTGTCGATCTATTATTCAATAAAAAGCTTTCACGCAAATTCTTAATTCTCTGTTCTTTGTTGTTCATCCATTTTCTATTGATCTCGTTTGTTTTAG